TGGGACTTCTCAAGCGAGTTTTGCACTCAAGTGTGCATCGACGCATTTCTCAATATCAAGAACACATCCAGGAACTTTCACGCGTCCTCCGCTCTTGCGGTTATGAGTTTTGGAACTCAACTTTGGCAGTTAATGATGACGACATTACACGAGGACACAAGATCCTTGAAGAACGCAGAAACAGCCATTGTTTCAGTTTCCTTTTCGAGTTGGTAGATTTAAAAAAAAAAAAAGATTGGTTGCATTTTGACATTAACAGAACAATATCGGCTAACATAGGTTAAACTATAAGTTGTCACAGACTGAGACATCCAAAGGAAAGATGCTTTAACTAATAAACAAAACACCACACAAGAAATAAATCAAAATAAAACCAACACAATCATGCAACCATAAAGCATGTGCCTTAAGCAAAATCACATTGATTAAACAAATCAAATCATTTCTTGGCCTAAAAGGGATAGTTCACCCAAACCTGAAAATTCTGTCATGATTTACTTGTCACAAACCTGCTTGAGTTTCTTTCTTCTGTTGGACATAAGAGAAGATATTTTGAAAACTAGTAACTATTGTCCTCCTTAGTGTTTGTTTTTCCTACTATGGATGTCATTGGATACAGGTTTTTAACATCATTCAAAATAACTTTTGTGTTCAACAGAAAAAAAGAAACTCAGATAGGTTTCAAACCCCTGAGTAAATTGAGCTTTTTTGGCCTAAATCCCTTTAACACATTTAAATATCCCTTTAGACCCTCTAAACTAGGGGTATTCAAACTCGGTCCTGGAGGGCCGGCGTCCTGCAGATTTTAGCTTCAACTTGCTTCAATACACCTGCAAGGATGTTTCTAGAATGCCTAGTAAGAGCTTGATTAGCTAGCCCAGGTGTGTCTGATTGGGGTTGGAACTAAACTTTGCAGGACACCGGCCCTCCAGGACCGAATCTGGACATCCCTGCTCTAAACCATTAAGACTTCCTCCTGTAGATGGTCTAAAAGCTTTTATTTGAATGTTAACAGGAAGAGGAAGTCTCTCCTCAGCTTTTCACATTTCACGAAGTGGTGTCTCAGCTGGTGGACATGGAGGAGCAGGTTCTGGAGGACCACAGGGCTGTGTTTCAGGTCATTATGCTTTTCATTTTTACAATGCATCTTTGTGAAGTTGGTAGTTCAGTCCCAAATTAAAAGGAATTGCTAATTATTATTGTTTTTTTTTTTAATATTGACTATCATACTTTGTGTCAAACAGGAGTCTATCAGGTGGCTTGAGGACGAGAAGGTTCTCCTGGAGATGACTGAGGAGGTAGACTATGATGTGGACTCTTACTCCTCTCAGCTTGAGCAAATTCTTGACCAGAAGATCGAGATCCTCATTGAACTCCGAGGTAAATGCTGAGAATGCTCTTTTACTTTTTTAATGTTCTCCCAATGGAATGATGGCGCACTAATGGATGCGCGTCTGCTTGTATTATCAGATAAAGTGAGGTCATTCCGTTCTGCACTTCAAGAGGAGGAACAAGCCAGCAAGCAGATTAACCCCAAGCGGCCCCGTGCGCTGTAGCCTGGAACACACTCGCGGAGGAACGACCAACACAAAGAGTCCTGTAGGCTTCTCCATAGTATTCAGGAGTGTTCTGAAGAAACTCTTTCCTACTCTCCCTCTTTCTCTCACACTGCATATGCTTTTCTTACTTGGTGATTCTAGTCCAAATATCTGAAAAATCAATATTTGATTTAGGCAGATAAAAATGTTTTTTTTTATTATAATAATAATAATAAGTTAAAAAAAAAAAGTCGTTTTTTGCTTTAAAACAATTACAATAATAATATGTAAATAATCTCATTTCAGTTTAAAGAGATTATTTTACTTACACCAATGGCAGATTTTTTAGCTTGTTTCAAGGAAAAACTCAGTTATTTTTGACTTAAAATAAGTCCAAAATTTTTTTTAATTCAGCTTTATTTTTTTATTTGTCTAGAAAATGCTTCTTAATTTCAGAAGTTTTAGATGTTTGGACTAAAAACAAGACAAAACTCGTAAGAAATAAAAGCATTTTTTGCAGTGCACATGTACAAATGCATTTAGTAATTCTCTTACAAATCAGCAGAGGATAATAAATAAGGGGAGCTTCTTTTAGTGCTCATCACTAAAACCCTTCATGAACGATTCCGAGGAAATCTTTAGACTTTTTTTTTTTTAATAGTATAGATTTTATTTATTTGCTTTTTTTTCAATTGTAGGTTAAGGGTACAGATATGTATCAGTTACAGATACTCTCGTGTTCTACCCTTTGAGGGGTTTTGTTTTTTTAGTTGTACCACTGAAATCCTTCCTCCGAAGTTGTTCTAAATTGTATGCATGAACACTCGGTTCAACTGATTATCACTCCGTTCCTTGCATGACTGACTTGGTTCATCTGCACTTTAAATAACCTTGTTTTTGTTTTGTTATTGGGGTCTGTTTACCGTACTTGGCACAGTGTATGTTTTTCTGTTGATTTGGCTATTACGGCATTTTACTCTTGCCGCTTATTGAAGGCATATTAACTGAAGTTTAAGACGTTCTCGAAGCATTTAATGCACTGGGAGAAAACTCTTTTTGAGGTGATGTGAATGAATGTAAGCAGTTTTGTTGGTTTTTCGAAGGCGCTGTCCATTTTCCATTGGTATTCTCTGTCGCCTTTGTCATCCGTTTATCTGTAGAATGCTTTCGTGCCATATCATGTTTCCTTGTGAAAAGGAAGTTAACAGTCCACCAAAATGCCTCCTCTCCTCCCTTCGTGTTTTACTTATAAAGCTTCCCAACATTCTTACATCACCTGTTAAGATTTGTAAATTGTGTTCAACTACAGCAAGATTCTCATAACGAATAGGGAACAACACTTATCCCGCTGCTGATATTTTCAGTGTTGGCACCTCTCAAACTCAGTGGTTGCTAAATAAAGAATGACTCAACAAAATTCTCAATTTTTATACAGTTTCCTGTCTTTATTTGGATTTTTGATTGCTTGAATTGTTTGTAGTGCAAATATCTAAAAACAATTCTTAATTTAAAATTAAATTAGTTTTTTAAGTGCCGATGAGGTAAGCAAGATAGTCTCGTTTTGGGTAATTTATTTAGATTTTTTAAGGAAAAACTCATTTAATTTTGGCATTTCGGAAAATAAGACAATGTTTTTTTCTTGTTTAGAAAATGCTTCTTGATGTCTTCAAATATTAAAGATATTTAAGAACTAGAAACAAGTCAGAAACTCAATTTAGGAAAATATTATTTTTGCAAGGAACATAACATTAGAACCACAAAAAATTACACTCACTGGCCACTTAATTAGGTACACCTGTCCAACTGCTCGTTAACTCAAATTTCTAATCAGCCAATCACATGGCTGCAACTTAGTGCATTTAGGCATGGTCAAGACGAATAGGGAACAAAGGGAATTTAAGTGACTTGGTTTAGTGTGACATGGTTGTTGGTGCCAGACAGGCTGGTCTGAGTATTTCAGAAACTGCTGATCTACTGGAATTTTCACGCACAACCATCTCTAAGGTTTACAGAGAATGGTCAGTAAAAGAGAAAATATCTAGTGAGCGGCAGTTCTGTGTTTGCAAATGCCTGAGGTCAGATGAGAATGGCCAGACTGGTTCAAGCTGAAAGAAAGGCAACAGTAACTCAAATAACCACTCGTTACAACCGAGGAATGCAGAAGAGCATCTCAGAATGCACAACAAGTCCAACCTTAAGGCAGATGGGCTACAGCAGCAAAAGACCACACCGGGTGCCACTCCTGTCAGCTAAGAACAGGAAACTGAGGCTAAAACTCGCACAGGCTCACCAAAATTGGACAATAGAAGATTGGAGAAACGTTGCCTGGTCTGATGAGTCTCGATTTCTGCTGCGACATTCGGATGGTAGAATCAGAATTTGTCGTCAACAACACAAAAGCATGGGTCCATCTGGCCTTTTATTAATGGGTCAGGCTGGTGGTGGTGGTGTAATGGTGTGGAGGATATTTTCTTGGCACACTTTGGGCTCATCAGTATCAACTGAGAATCGTGTCAACACCACAGCCTACCTGATGTCCATCCCTTTATGACCACAGTGTGCCCATCTTCTGATGGCTACCTCCAGCAGGATAACGGGCCCAGTCATAAAGCACGAATCATCTCAGACTGGTTTCTTGAACATGACAATAAGTTCACTGTATTCAAATGGCCTTCACAGTCACCAGAACTCAATCCAATAGAGCACCTTAGGGATGTGGTGGAACTGGAGATTTGCATCATGAATGTGCAGCCAACAAATCTGCAGCAAGTGCGTGATGCTATCATGTCAATATGGAGCAAAATCTCTGAGGAATATTTCCAGTACCTTGTTGAATCTATGGCATAAAGGACTAAGGCAGTTCTGAAGGCAAAAGGCAGTCCAACCTGTACATAATAAAGTGGCCGGTGAGTGTATAGTAATGAGAGGAATGATTGTGTTGTAATAAAGTAAGGAATAATTGAGTTTAATTTAGAATTTAGAGTCCTTAGAGCCTGACCTCAAGCCGACCGATAAGTAATCACAGACAGACAGATAGACAGACAGACAGACAGACAGACAGACAGATAGATAGATAGATAGATAGATAGATAGATAGATAGATAGATAGATAGATAGATAGATAGATAGATAGATAGATAGATAGATAGATAGATAGATAGATAGATAGATAGATAGATAGATAGATAGATAGATAGATAGATAGATAAAATGGTTTGTATTAAATATTAAATCCTACTACAATTTTGATACCAAAGGGAGTTGAAGTTTTAAATCTACAGGCCTAGGTGGCGCTGTTTAGTTTTGTTACCTTTTATCCCATTTAGAGCAATTTACACGGGAAAAGGAGTTTGAAAATTTAGTAGAACAACGGCAGTATAAAATACAGTAATTTATTTATTTATTTATTTAAAAACTGTAAAAGTCATTTTAACCTATTGGTATTCATTTGATATTTCAATTAGTTTTGTACTGTTAACATGCATTGGAATCAATACTGTGCTTTTTTATTGGTGTGCTAATAAATGACTTCTTAGTGTTACTATCCCATATTTATTTTATCATATGTAAAAACCAAAACATCTGGTTAACTCTAATAATACATGTCAATGAAGTAAATAATAAATATACTCTTATTTTGAAATGCTACTTCCGGAAGGCGTTGACATTGCGTTATTGAAGCGCTTTTCACGCCTCTGCATCTCATCCACGCCGTTTTGCGGCTTTGAGCTGTCGTCGGTTATCAATCGCTCACCCAACCCTTTTCTCCGCTGTCTTCAACATTTCTTCGTCTCGCCTTTTCTTTGTTTGATCTGTTCATCATTTATATTAGAATTCAACTTTTAGCATCACACGGGTATCTCCAGTGTAATGCTGCAGGGAGAAAAGACATCTTCACCACGTAAACAAAGGTACAGTTTGTCCGAGACTAACTTTATTCATGACACTGCCTCTGAAATTGCTGTATGTAAACAGTTATTACAAATTCTGATGTTTCCTGACACGTTTGACAGATCGCTATCGAGCTGACGACGTCACTTAAAGGATTTTTGTCAAGCTGACGTCATCATTCAGCAGAAGCGTGTTAATGGGCTGTTACAGATCTCATAAATACAGTCATCAGGTGAGTATGTCATAAAACATCCCATATCAGTGCATTTATTAGGTGTTTGTGCATAATTTATCTTATCTGTTCCTGTAGTATCAGGTGTATTCTGAGGTGGAGCGTAAGCAAACGGAAACTGTTAGTATCACAGCCAAAACCGAATCTAAAAATGTTTTAATATTATGTGGGACATTCTACCAGAAAAAGTAAATTTTCACTTGGGAAAAAAAAAGACAGGGCCTGACTTAAACTTGTCGTCCACACACACACACACACACACACACACACAAACATGCTAAAACGAGCACAAAATCATACAATTTAATGAAAGAATACATCCTTGATCACTGTCAGCTTCTTCTCCGTCAAATGTTGTCACTTTCGAGTCAAAGACTTAAACGTGTATTGCAAGTATTGTATTTTAATTTAATACATATAATACAAACTGCCCAAATTTTCTATAATACCGTTCCTAAGGTAACTGTAAGATTTCTATTTACTTTGTTTATTGATTAATTAATTAATTTATTTATTTTTAGAACAACAGTATCCTAGTCAGGGAAGATATGAAGAGTTTAGATGCAAAAACCTCTAAATCCCGTCTAAAATTTTCCTCCTTTGTGAGTGTTCAGTAGTATTACGTTTATGGCAAAGAATAAGTCATTTTCCTGGTCTTCAAAGTGAAATATCTCAACATTAACAAAGGAGGCTGAGATTAATGTTCCTTTTCAATGGAAATTTCAGACGGCACTTAGAGGTTTTTGCATCTGAACACTACATATCCAGAGATGCTGTTTTAAAAGTCAGTGATTTATTTTCATTATTTAGCCTGTCATGTTTACTGCTCTGAAATATTTTAAGTCTTTTAAAAAATAAAGTATGTTATTTTCGAAGGGGAAATAAGTTGTTGTTTTTTACCCAGACATTTAAAAAGATTATATTTTAGAACAGTAATCACAATACCATGATATTTTTATCCAAGGTTATCATACAGTCAGAATCTTATACCGGCCCATGCCTACTTTGTATGATATTCATTAATTCATTTTCTTTTCGGCTTAGTCCCTTTATTAATCTGGGGTTGCCACATTGGAATGAACCGCCAACTTATCCAGCATGATTTTAAGCAGCGGATTCCCTTTTAGCCGCAACCCATCTCTAGGAAACATCCATACACACTCGCTCACTCATACACTACGGACAATTCAGCCTACCCAATTCCCCTGTACCGCATGTCTTTGGACTGTGGGGGAAACCGGAGCACCCTGAGGAAACCCACGTAAACGCAGGAAAAACATGCAAACTCCACACAGAAATGCCAACTGACCCAACCGAGGCTTGAACCGGCAATCTTCTTGCTGTGAGGCAACAGCACTACCTACTGCGCCACTACGGCACCTCTTTGTATGATATATTTGTAGCATTTATTTATTTGTAGAATTTATTTATAATTTCATGTTTTTAATCAATTGATGTGAATGATAACAGCTTAAAGTTTGCTATTACTGAAGGTTTTTTTCCCCTAAATTCACAGTGTTTAGCATAACAAAGCTATTAAAGCTGTAGGTTCAATTGGACTGAGGACAATGATAGGGTTTGTAAAGTGTTTTAATAAAGAGAAAAAAACCTGAGATCCAAATGAAGGACATATTCCTTTACAGAACAACTCGCAGAAATTAACCATTAGTCCAATGTAGGAATTTTTGGAATAAACCTTTTATTCGCTGTATTTATGATTTGATTTTAAGTACAGATAATTTTTGTGGTAGAATGTCCCATGTACGTGTATCAGATGTAATGTGTTTATATGTCTGTTTAAATAATATGATCAAAATTTAATTTAAAATATTTGATAATCTATATAAAATATAACGAACTAACTTGTAAAAGACAAAAATTGTGTTTTCTTTGTTGCATAACTGTGAGCATTTAACACGTTTTTAAACCAACTTTTTATGTTTAATTTATTAAGGGTGGTGGTTGGTTTAGTTACTGTTGGTTTTAGTGTATTAAGTGCACCTATGTCTGTACGTTTTGTATTATATGTGCATTTCACATGCATTTACAACGTTAGTGGTTGAAGTCCTAATTATTAATCCTCTTTTGAAATGTTAAATATTTCAGTGCTGTTTAATGAAGAGAATATTTTTTTCCAGGACTTTTTTTAACAGAACATTTTTAATATCTAATTTCTAAAAACTAATTAGTTTTTTCTATGCCATAAAGGTATATTGCTTAATATTTTACTATTTATTTAACAAGATACTAGTATTTCCGATATATATATATATAATGTATATTAAATATAACAATCCTGTAAATTACAAAAATAGTGTTTTCTTTGTTGCATAACTGTGAATTATACAGTTTTTAAACCAACGTTTTTACATTTCATTTATTAGGGTGGTGGTTGGTTAAGTTACTGTTGTCTTTGTCTGTACTTGTATTATATGTGCATTTCACATACATGTATGACGTTTGTGGTTAAGGTGAAATTTTGAAATCTTCTCGTGAAATTTTAATTGTTTAAAATAATTAAGTGATATTAAGTTAATAATTAAGTTATTTTTTTGTAACACATTTTAAAAATAATAACTAATTTCTAAAAACTAATTTGGTTTTTCTATGTCATAAAAAAATACCTAAATGTTTTTCCTAGTTATTTTGTAAGATACTAGAATTCAGTTCAATTTAAACTAGGTTAACTAGGCAAGTCATTGGTTTCTTCTGTAGCCAATCAAAAAAAAATATTGAGTGTATTTGTTAAGGGGGCTAATAATATTGACCCTGAAAAAATAAAAACAGCATTTATTCCAGTTAAACTAAAACAAATAAGACTTTCTACAGGAGAATAAGAAAATAGGAATTACTGTAAAAAATGTACTTGCTAAGCTAAACAGCACTGAGGAAATGTTTGAAAAAGTAAAAAAAAATTCACAGCAGTGCTAAAAATGTGTCTTTCATCAACTATATGATGTGCATGTATATTAATATGGCTTGTCATGTTAATTAATTATTTATATTATAAAGCTAAATTTGTTTTAGCAAGACAAAACTGTGCTCATGCCATTTAATCTCTCAAGTTCTTACTTGTCCTTGAGCAAAACTGTAGTGTAACTTACCTTTAGGTGTGGAAATCATTTACCAAATACCAGTTATTACTCCACCCCTGAATAACATCCTGTTAATCATATATTCTTGTTGTCCAGAAGTGTCAGAGTACTTGTTCCACATGAACGTGTATATATCTAAATAATTGTGTTCCCCACAGATCTAATCCTATAAGCTCATTGTGGATTCAGCACTCCCCGCATCCACCCAGAGAGTCATGAGCTCCCACAAGAGACCCGTCCGGGCCCGCTCTGATTCTGACAGCAGCTCCTCGGCACCCCGTGACCCGATCGTAGCAGCTACAGAAGAGGGTCCCAGTCTACTGACCCGGCTGATGGAGCTGCCCGTGGCCCGTCTGTCCCGGCAGCAGCTGAAGAGGCTGGAGGAGCACCGCTACAGCAGTGAGGGACGCTCCCTTCTGGAGCCCTTCATGCAGGGATTCTGGTGCTGGCTGGTTAGCAAAGTGCCTCTCTGGATGGCCCCAAACCTCATCACTATCGTGGGACTCGCTACTAATATTGTCAGTACTCTGATACTGGTCTATTACTGCCCTACTGCCACTGAACAGGTAATATTTACAGTCAGTTGTGAGCTCTAGTTTTACTGGGTAAAGCTACAGATTAACTCCGCAAGAGGAGTGGGATACATAGGTGTTTAGTAAATTTTATGAAATACTATTTAAATTGAATTTAGGGCTGGGAAGTACAGCTAAAAAAATTTTATATATAATATTTAATATCATTCAGTATAGATAATTATTGACTATTGTTTTTTACAATCCATTTAGGGATATTAAGATGTTTTATTTAACCATTTTATTTTAATTTACCAACATTACTAAGGCAAAAAGTTTTAATAGTCAAAAAATAATAATATAAACAAATCTTGTCCAGTGTTTCCTCTAGGATTTTTTCCAGCTGTAGCGGCAGGCCTTTTTTTACACAGATCTGCCTTAAAGGGTTAACAAATAACGTGCAGCACTACTACAGTTACAGAAAAGTTTGTGCTGTTATTATTCACTTAACTTTTAATACGTTTTGGTTCGATTATTAACCACTATTAAAAAAAAAAAAACAACTGAATGTTTTAAATGAGAAGCTGTAATGTAGCCGTGGTAGGATGAATTTTGGTGTGAAAACCATGTCGTCTCTTAATAAATGTTACAAAGTGTGTGCAGTGATAAAGTGTAAACGCTGAACAATCAAATCAAACTTTAAGGTTGATCAACATCTGTAAGGTGTCTTAAATAATCACACAGTAAACCACAAACTCTATTAACAAAACAAATTATGATAATCAAATCTGAGCTTTCAAGTAAAGAAACTAACCATCATTATTCAAACACCTATTGCAACAATACAAACTGTGAAGTACTGAAGCAGATTGGTTAGTCCTACTTGCATAAATTGCGGTGCGCACCTGACATTCTGGAAAGTTGAAATGTGCGCCTGGAAAATGCATTTTTTTAAATTGTTATTGGCAATGGTGTACGGTCAATAAATACTGATACCATTTTATTGGCCCAGCCCTAATTTAATTAATTGAAACAGATTTTTAATACTTTTTAAGACTAGATTCTATTTAGTAATTTTTACCTTGTGTCATATTGGACATACAAGTGAAAGAATTATTCACCCCCTGTATATTTCTTCCACAATTTGGAAATTTCCCGCTAGTTTAATGGAAATATTTTTTTCAACACATTTCTAAACATAATTTAATAACTGATTTCTAATAAGTGATTTATTATATCTTTGCTGTGATATATTTGCCAAGATAATTTTCAAGATGCTAGTATTCAGCTTAACATGCAAATTTAAGGCTTAACTTACTTAATTAGGCAAATTAGGGTAGTTAGGCAAATCATTGTATAACAATGGTTTGTTCTGTAGACAATACAAAAAAGATTGCTTAAGGGGATAATAATATTTACCTTAAACTGCTTTTTAAAAAGCTGCTTTTATTCTAGCTGAAACAAAACAAATAAGACTTTACCCAGAAGAAACAAATATTACAGGAAAGACTGTGAAAAATTCCTTGCTCTGTTAAACATCAATTGGGAAACAAATTAAAGAAAAAAATTAATTTAACACTTTCTCATAGTTTATTTATTTATTTATTTATATATATATTTTTGCTTAAAGTTAAAGAATCCACTCGAGTTTGTTCAGCAAATTTAATCTTACTGTAAAACATATTTCGTTGGACTGTCCCACTTTTAATGACTGCAAAAGGTTTTTTTATTAGATGAATAATGAGCATTATTCTCTTAATGAGATATTCGGCAAATTTTTACTAGGAAAAAAAAATGTATGTTTACATTTATTCATTTAGCAGATGCTCTTATCCAAAGGGACTTACAAGTGAGGATAAAAGAAGCACTTCAAATCAGCAGAGCGTAGCAGTATATAAATGCTATGAGTAGTCTCAGTTGCTAAGTCTACAAGTCTGTGTTTATTTTTGTTTGTTTGGGAGGAACGAGGGGAGATTGTGTTCAATAGGTGGTTTGTCAAGCCCACTCACTTGTGTGGAACACACTCAGAATTGCACAATGTTTTTAAGAAGTATGAGGTATATAAAAAGTGTTTGGTAATTCTTTTAGACTTTTAATTATATATTAACGTTAAAAATTATTTCTAATTTATCTTGTTTGTTTGTTTTTATTTTATTTTCCGCATGCTCTTAGTACGCCGGTTAAGCCACATTTCCGAATTTTCCTTGCCAGTCATATTCATTTAGTTTTTTTGAGTCAATTTTAATTTCCACAACCAGCGACTTCAGAGTCGAGAGAGGCTGGATTGAGCTCCTCCATGGCCTTGTTTGTGGTTTTTATTGTATTTATTTTTAATGAATTGTGTCATGAAGATAGCCGTTGTTGCTGACATGACATTAAATAAGAATATATGGTATGATGCTTTGGATCAACTGTAAGAGTAAATTGAGTTTACGTGTTTTCACTTGCTGGCTGTCATAATGTTGATTGCAGATATTAAAGGATATTCTGCAGTTAATGGAATGATTAGGTATTTTAATATCAGTATTGAGCACACACAAACATTAAAAAAAGATTTATTTGAAAATCTAAATTCATTGATTTATTATTATTACTAGTACGTTAGCTGGCATCACTAAAACAAAATTAGGTTTATTTTTTCTCTCAAATAGCTAGTTTAATCAAAATGTATTATAATTATTGTAATATATATATATATATATATATATATATATATATATATATATATATATACATACACACATACACACACACATGTATAATAATTATGAATTTTTAAATATTAGTTTTAATTATCTATATTTAAAACATGTTTGATAATATTAGTTATCGATACGCTTATTTATCTAGATTTTAGTGTTAATTTTGATATAATTGAATTTGTGACTGTTAATGATTACACATTTTATTTATAGGTTGTGATTTTTTTTTTTTAGATTTTTAATTTTTTTAGTTCATTCCTAAATATTTAGTTCTAAGTTATTTTCTGAATGTTGTATTTTTGTACATCTAAATTTTAATCTTAATTATAAATATTATAAATATTTTAAATATTTATAAATAAATTATAAATAATATAAATATTTAGTTGCTGCTTTAGCGATGACTATATAAATGTGGTCTATATAAATGTGGTTTATTTTAATTGGCTTTAATTGATTAAGATTAATTTTAACCTTAATATGCAGTATCTGTTACAGTTGCTGCTATTTTTATATCCAGCTTAGATTTTATAATCAGAATTTATAATTAGTTATTGACTTTAAACATTTTAACAACTCGTTATAATTTGAACACTGACATTTTAATATCAGTTTTTGTTTTACTCTGAAAATGAAATTGATGTTATGTCCAGGTAGGTCTCTTTCAGATATTGACTTTTTATTGACTTTATTATGAATTACATTCCACAGACGGCATTTAGAGGTTTTGCATCTGAACTCTTCATATGTTAAAATCAGTTATTGTATAATTGTAAATATTACGTATCGTCTGCATTAAAGTCTTGGCTTGTCTTCTCACCTTGCCTCACATAAGTTCAGTGTAGACTGTAATTTAGTATATTCTGAGCTCATCCGATGAGGTAATTAAGGTCTGTTTAACAGCACAATAAGATCTTGTGTATTGTCAAACACAGCTTGTTCTGTCAGCTGGAACAGTCTCTGTTTATCAACTATAGCAGCCTTATGAGTCCCGCTGCTATGGAAAACATCTACATTGCTTAAGTCTGCAATCGGACACCTTCTCTCCCTCCATGTACCATTAGTATCTACAGTTAGGCTTGTAAGAGCTAAAATAACACATTCATAAGCACATTTGTTGAAATGTGGTGTATTATTGGTTACAAAGTTACATTTAGGCCTGCTTTATTACAGTTTCACCTCTTTTGCAGGCACCAACGTGGGCATATTTGGCATGTGCTTTGGGTTTGTTCATCTACCAATCGTTGGATGCTATAGATGGAAAGCAGGCACGACGTACCAATAGCAGCACACCGCTTGGCGAGCTGTTTGACCACGGCTGTGACTCACTTTCTACAGGTCTGCTCATGTTTGTGTTTGCAAGAACAGCTGGCTACTCTAATTTAACACCTGGATTGCTTTTATGTATTATTATTGCTTTTTAATGTATTATTAATCAGAGAGATTTAAATGTTAAGTCTTTAAATAGAGATGTATGAATTAAAATTATTTATTTACAATGAAAAAAAATTATTCAAAGATGATTCCTTGAATTTACTTACATTTTTTTAAGTTAAGGGGTTGTAAACCCTTTGTTTATGTTGAATTTAAACAAATAAATTAAGATGAACATTACAAAATTTAATTTGCTTGTTTAAATTCAACACAAATAAATTGTTTGCATAAATTTTGCCTACATTTTTTTTAGTGTATCCATACACAGGGCTTGAAATTAACCTTTTTTGTTTGATAGCACCTGTGCTCCTATCTTAAAAAATTAGCCGCACCAGCCAAAAATTAAGTCATACATACAAAAAAATTATGAGCACCGTTACTACAAGTTTTATATTAACAGATTTATTGCATTTGTAATCAACACTAATCAAAACTAACAATAAAATCTGCTTGCGCTCACCGGCCCTGCACGTACTGCTTGACGTGAATGCGATGAACTGAGTTAACGATAATAACTGTGTGTTCCCACAGGTGGCGTCATAGGTGGCGTCACAGGTTGACATAACTTATTATTTGCAGATTTACGTCATCTTAATAGCAATAACAGTTTTTTTATGGCCTGCAATATAGTTTAATCTCAGTGAATGCAAGCCCTTATGCTGTGGTGTACGCGATGTAGTTGCACGACTGACAGCATTGTGACTGTTAAATGAAGGATTAAATAGAACTTCTCTATTGCTTAAAATATATGGTAAATGCTTTTACCTGCAAACTCCATCCTCAGGCTTTACAGTGAATAGTTTTAGTTTTCATAGCAGACTTTAACCCACTGGAAGTATTTTATCCACTCTTCAAAAAGTCTAAATGGTGGATTAACATTCTCCACATGATTACTGATCAGATGTGCCATTATTTGTAATTTTAGGTGGTTTCTAAAGCTAAATCTGTCAGTGTTACTTTTATTCTCTCGTATCCAGATCTTTACATTTTCACGCCTGTAGCTCCTGTCTTCTGAAGGAAGGCATTGGCTGAGTGATTGACAGCTGATATAACCAATCCATTCTCATTCAGTTTTAAGAGCAGTGGGCCAATCAGAAGAGCTTGAAGGCAGGGCAAGCATTGCAGGCTTTGTTTACTGCAGAAAGTTGACATGACGACTTTTAACTACTCCTAAGTGCTGCATTTCACGTTTTTAGGTGCAAAGATGCATTTTGCGTGAATTTCTCTTAAATCCGTGCATGCGGTTAACATTTTGCAATGAAAAATGGTCGCACAGCCACAATTTTTGTTTTTGGACTCGCACAAATGCTCCCAAATATATTTTGAGGTCACATATATAAATGCAGTTGCAATTTCAAGCCCTTTTTGATACAGGTAGTTTGTGAAATATTGTCCAAAAACCTAAAGAAAATAAAGCTTTAAACAAAAAAAAAAAAACTTTTTAAAAACAAAGACTATGCATTTGTTTTAAATAACTAAATAAATAATATTACTAGTATATAATTTTTTTTCGGAGTTTACATAGCTTAAATAACACAGGCTATTGTTTTTTTTTTTATTTCATTTTTTTTCTTTGGCCAACTTTGGCCATGTTAAAAAAAAAAAACATTTCTAAATAAATAATATACGTATCAAAATTAATAAAATTAAACATACCTGTCAACCCTCCCGTTTTTCGCGGTATTCTCCTGTATTTTACTGTTCTATCCCGCTATTACCCCGTAAAGGTTTTTTCCCGTATTTCTCCCGTATTTTCAGTCTTTCTCTGAACAGCCGAGCCTCCCTATACACAAGCCATACCACCGAACCACCAGGGGTCGCCCCTTGTTCTAAAACGTGAGTCCTCTGTGCTTTCGCTTTGTTTAGGAATGAAAACACTTATAAATAAATATTAAAAGTGGCGCGATTCCCTTTCCTTTTGATTACAGGTGCCGTCACCCATCCTATACAATCCTCAAAACAGTCCTATAATGGTGTATGACTGTCAGCTGATGAGCTCCATAATGATAAACAGATGCTGTTTCCCAAACAGATTCTGTAAAATCCCTTATTATGGTGGGCATATCCCTTATTTTCACATCCCAATGTTGACAGGTATGAACTAAACATAGTATTTTACTTGAAATTAAAAAAATAATAATTTAAATGTGCTTTTAAATTATTATTATCTTTTTAACTTGTGTATCCATTTAGGTAGTTTATGAATTATTGTCTAAACCTGAAATAAAAAAATTAAATAAAGATACATTTGAAAACAAAAGTGTTTGTATTTGTTTTAAATAGCTAAAAATATATGTGTTGCTAGTATATGTATTGAAATTTAATTTTCCTGAGTTTCCATTGCTAAAATCACACAGGCTTTTATTTTATTTATTTATTCATTTTATTATTATTTTATTTGTTTAATTTAAATAAATTTTATTTTGGTCTAGTGAAACATTTGCCATGTAATATTTTTTACCATTGCAAAGATGTATTCCTAAATAGTAGATGTACAGTATGTATCTCAATTAATATAGTTAATTAAAACATAGTATTTTACTTGAAATAAAACAAAAAAGTATTTATAATGTAAATAAAATGATGCATGAAAAAACAAATCAAAGTGTTTAACATGAAATAACGAACATGAGAAAATCTTTGAATAAAAAAAATAATTTACGCTTTTTATTAAAACTACAAGTCGATAATAGTGAAACATATTTCTAATTGGCTTTCCTGTTTTTTTTGTGTGTTTCTCTGCTGCAGTGTTTGTGGTTCTGGGCACATGTATAGCCGTTCAGCTGGGCACTTACCCTGACTGGATGTTTTTTTGTTGTTTTGTGGGCATCTTCATGTTTTATTGTGCCCACTGGCAGACGTATGTTTCTGGAACACTGCGCTTCGGCATGTGAGTGACAAATGTCCTTAATAATAATTTGTGCATTCAGTAATCAGTACACAAACACTATGTTTGAACATTCTGGTCTGCTCATGGGAAACTGGCAGCTTTCAGACAGCTGTTGTATTGTAGATAAAGCACTACAGAAAGAAAGAAAGACGCTGTATTTTATTGAGAATAATTGATTGGATTTATCCCTGTTTGCTTGTGCAGAATTGATGTGACTGAGGTGCAAATCTTCATCATATCCATGTATTTACTGGCTGCCATCGGAGGAACGGCTTTCTGGCAATCTATGGTAATTAAAATCTTAATTCTTTCACTTTTTTTTTTCCAAATAATTATATGCTCAGTTCACATGCTGCATGAACAATCTCTTTAAATATTTGTAGGGAAAAACTACTTTTATATAAAGAAAGGTGTGATTTTTGTTCTTAATCTTTCAGATTCCGGTGCTAAATATTCAAGTTAAAATAATACCGGCTCTCTTCACTCTTCTGGGAGCAGTTTTCTCCTGCACAAACTATTTTCGAGTTATATTTACAGGCGGAATGGGCAAAAACGGATCAACTATTGCGGTAAGTTAAAGCTAAATTAGATAAACAGAAACTCATGAGAAACTCTTGTCTTTCCATGCATAAATGTAAAAGTGCATACTTTTCTATCATTTAATTAAAAAATTATTTTAAAGAAGTTTGCTTAATCTATTTATTAATGTCTTTATAATCAGCACATGATGTGCTCCACCAATTCATTTATTTGTTTTCACTTCTTTTGCATTATTTTTATGTATTTATTTGTTTTGTATATGTGTTTATTTGTTTATTGGATTTATTATAGTGTGGTGTATATATTTATTCATAATTAACATTTTGAGTCTTAATGAAAAATACTTGGTTTGTAACTAGATCATTATTTTTATTTTATTATGTTAATTTTATTTCAAGTAACAAAAATGATTTTGTGTTTTCATTTTTGTTTAAGTAGACTAATAATTTAAGTTTGTCTGTCTGTCTGTTTGTTTGTTTGTTTGTTTGTTTGTTTGTTTGTTTGTTTGTTTGTTTGTTTGTTTGTTTGTTTGTTTGAATCAGGGATCAAGCATTTTGTCTTCATCTTTCCATAGTTTTACATTCTTTTTAGATTCAAACAATTAAAAAAAATTCTATTATTATTTTTGTAAATGTATCTACTTAGTTTGTAACTAGATGATTTTTGTGTGTTTTATTATGTTAATTTTATTTTAAGTAACCAAAATGGTTTTGTTGTTTTATTTCTGTTTTGGTAAACATTAATAATCCTGCACTAAATGTCAAAAACAGCCTGTAACTGTATGCATCTAAATTTAATGTCACAATGTTTTTTGTCTGTCTGTCTGTTTGTTTATTTGTTTGTTTGTTTGTTTGTTTGTTTTAATCAGGGAACAAGCATTTTGTCTCCATCTTTTCATATTTTTTTATTTGTTTTTAGCTTTAAACTTGTAATGCTATTAATATTGTAAATGTATTTATTTGTTTAATGGATTTTTAATAGTGCCGTGTATATATTTGTTAATCTTCTTAATCTTTCTTAATGAAAGTCTTAATGAGAAATAGTTGTTTTGTAACTAGCTGATTTTTTTGTGTGTGTCTGCTTTAGTGTGTTAACTTTATTTCAAGAAACCAAAATGTTATAGTTTCATTTCTCTTTAAGTAAAATATAATAATTCTGCACTAAATTTCCAAAGAAACCTGTATCTGTATGCAACTAAATTAATGGCGCAATGTTTTTTTGTTTGTTTGTTTGTATGTTTGTTTTAATTAGGGAACAAGCGTTTTGTCTCCATCTTTCCATATAGGAGTGGTAATCACACTTGCTCTAATGATCTACAAGAAGTCATCTGTGCAGCTCTTCGAGAAACACCCTTGTCTTTACGTCTTAGCATTTGGCTTTGTCTCAGCCAAACTCACCAACAGACTAGTGGTAAGATCATGCATTATAGTTTACTTTGATTATCACAGCTTTAGTAAACAAGTAATATTCTGTAATATTCTTTTTAATATTACTGATACACCTCTACCTGAATTTTCGACTTTGTTTCAATAGCTATGAGGAAGAATTATGGCTTTCATGCAGTCTGTATGATTTTCTGCTTCTAATATGATTTTCTGCACCTTTTTGCACAAAATACTCATCGTTGTTGATTGCGGTTTGTATCTGTGTGACTCAGACTGCATTAGTATCAGATAATCTAAATGTCACCACAGTCACATCTCTGTTGTTTTTCAGGTTGCTCACATGACTAAAAGTGAAATGCATCGTTATGACTTGGCTTTCACCGGACCGGCACTGCTGTTTCTGAATCAGTACTTCAACAGTTTCATCAATGAGTACTGTCTTCTGTGGGTTGCTCTGGTACGTTAAAGATGGGAAAACATTGGATTTCCTTGCTTTTGAAATAAAAAGCTCAGTGTTGTATGTAGAAATAGATTTTCACAGTAGCGTACGTCCACGGTCTGTTGAGGTCATTCAGAAATCGACACGGTTGTGACTTCCTTAAACTTTTCTGGTCATGTTGTGCACTCTAAATCAAAAGAAGTTAGAAAGTTAAAAGTTTTAAGCTAGCATGCTTCTAACATAACTAACTTCTTTAAACACGCTGCTGGCATGTTTAGTAGGTTGCAAATTTTTTGCTAATTATTTGTATAAGTTGTCCTATTTCTGGTATGATTCAATTCAGTAACTTTTTAGCATGATATAATACTCTGCTTGTATGATTGTAGAATGATTAGCACGTTAACAAACTGCTAATGTGTTTTAGCATACTGCTAGCATTTCTGAACAAAGATGTGGTGCACTGCTGGCCTGTTTTAACACTTGTTTGCCATGTATCATAACACTAACTTGTTGACCACACAATTTGAGCATTTTAGCATGTGGCTAACACAGTTTACTAACATTTATTTAACATTGTTAACATGTGTCTGGTATGGTGGAATATTTATAACGTGATTTAGAATGTTTACCTCGTTTCTAGCATGGTTTGAAAACAATTTAGAACATTACTATCACATTTTAACAAATATGCACCATTTTCTACAATGACTTAGCAAATTGCTACACAGATGTCTTTTTTAGCAAGTTTCTAACATAATATTAGCACATTTTTTGTACTGTAGCTCTCACTTTTGACTCATTGAACAACCTCTTTCACTGGGAAATTAAATTATTAATGTGGTTTCACATAGATTTAGCATTTTAATGCACAATCTTCATCACCTATTTTATAATCATTGGCTTGTTAATGTTATTTAGCATGTTGTAAGCATTTCTGAACATTGTAGTGCACTGTTAGCCTTCTTTGCTATATTTGTTACATGTATCTAAGCATGCATGATTTAACACTAGCATATTTGCCATACATGATATTGCTAACATGTTGGTAGTATGATTTAAGATGCTGCTGGCTTATTTTGTGTTTTAACATATTGCTAACAAGTTTCTTGCATGATTTAATGTTTATAACCCATATTTTAGATACTGCTAACACTGTTAGCATGATCTAGGACACTGCTGCCACATGTTTGTGTGTAGCTAGCACATATTGCTACCGTGGTTCTGGCGTGGCTTGATGTTTATAACCTGATTTCGAAGGTTTACCTATTTGCTAGAATGATTTGACATCAATGAAAGCACTACTACCACGTTGTAACATTCGTAACATTTTCCACAACGATTTAGCAAACTTTAATGTTAAAACCCTTCCCTAGCATGAGTTATGGCTCAGGTAGCACACTTTTGGCATGTTTTAACATGATTTAACAAACTCTTAACATGTTAATTGCATGGTTCAATACACATTTTGCTATGTAGCTCCTTTGATTAAATTTTTTAGAATTTTCATAATCCACCTGGATTGGATTGTGAATGAGAATTTGCATGGATTTAGCATTTAAATGCACAAATATGATCTCCTGTTTCATAATCATTTGCTTGTTAATGTTATGTAGTGGATTGCAAGCATTCTGAACATTGTAGTGCACTTTTAGCCTTTTTGGTACATTTGTTACATGTGTCTAGCATAATTCTACATTTTAGCATTTTTGACACATGACTTTAGATACTGCTAACATGCTGTTAGCATGTTTTAGGATGCTGCTGGCATATTTTTGTGTGAGGTTAGCTTGGTTTAACGTATTGCTAACAAGTTTCTAGCATAATTGAATGTTTATAACCTGATTTACAATTGTTGCTAGCATGCTTTTAACATTAACACCCTACTTTCACATTTTAACAACAATTTGTAGAATTTTCCAGAATGACTTGGCAATCTGCTACTGTTTGAACACATTGTTAGCAATTTGAACATGATTTATGACACAGATAGCAAGTATCTAACATTTTAACACAGTGGTCACCAAACTTGTTCCTGGAGGGCCGGTGTCCTGCAGATTTTAGCTCCAACCCTAATCAAACACACCTAAACAAGCTAATTAAGATCTTACTAGGTATAGTTAAAACATCCAGGCAGGTGTGTTGAGGCAAGTTGGAACTAAACCCTGCAGGGACACCGGCCCTCCAAGACCGAGATTGGTGACCCCTGTTTTAACACATTGTTAACATGTTTATATTATGATTCAGTATTTTAGTTTCAGCAATAAACATTTTAGATACTGCTAACAAGCTGTTAGCATGATTTAGGTTGCTGCTGGCATATATTTGTTATATAGTATATTGCTAGAATTTCTGAACATTGTAGTGCACTGTTAGCCTTTTTGGTACATTTATCTAGCATTATTTTACACTTTAGCATGTTTGTCACATAGTACATGATTTTGGTTTCTGCTAACACGCTGTTAGCATGATTTAGGACCCTGCTGGTATATGTTTGTGTGTGGCTAGCATGGCTTAACGTATTGCTAACAAGTTTCTAGCATAATTGAATGTTTATAACCTGATTTACAATTGTTTCCAGCATGCTTTTAACATTAACACCCTACTACCACATTTTAACAACAATTTGTAGCATTTTCTAGAATGACTTAGCAAACTGCTACTGTTTGAACACATTGTTAGCAATTCGAACATGATTTATGTCACAGATAGCATTTTTTAGCAAGTATCTAACATTGTAACACATTGTTAACATATTTCTATTTTGATTCAGTATTTTAGTTTTAGCAATAAACATTTTAGATACTGCTAACACGCTGTCAGCATGATTTAGGTTGCTGCTGGCATATATTTGTTATATAGCATATTGCTAGAATTTCTGATCATTGTAGTGCACTGTTAGCCTTTTTGGTACATATGTCTAGCATTATTTTACACTTTAGCATGTTTGTCACATAGCACATGATTTTGGGTACTGCTAATAATAATAATTATAATAATACATTTTATTTATAACGCACTTTTCTAAAACCCAAATCACTTACAAGAAAGTAAAAACAACAAAGCACAGTAAAACAATAAAAAAAACACAGTAATATATCACAAATTAAAAACTGTCCTAAAAAGATGAGTTTTAATTAGCTTCTTAAAACTGTCCAATGAACCAGCATTCCTAATGTTAGTGGGATAAGCATTCCACAGTTTGGGTGCACGGAAAAAGAACGCCTTACCTCCAATGGTGCTAAGTTTGCAGGAAGGCTGAAACAGCGTAGGACCCAAGGTAGAGCGTAGACAGCAAGAGGCAGAGGAAATGGATATCAGGTTACAAATGTAACCTGGAGCAGAACTATGAACCGCTTTATATGTTAAAATCAGTGCGAGACTTGACGGGTGGCCAGTGAAGCTGTTGGAGTATAGGAGTGATGTGAGACCGAGATGATGTATGTGTCAACACACGGGCAGCAGAATTTTGGATGTATTGTAAAATCTTGAGAGAATTAGCTGGTAACCCTCCGAACAGAGAATTGCAAAAACCCAAGCGAGATAAAAGCATGGACAAGTCTTTCAGCATCAGGCCTCGAGAGGAAAGGACGTAAGCGGGCTATAATTCGAAGATGATAAAAGGCTGTTCTGGTTGCATGTTTAAAATGAGGCTTCAGACTAAGCTGGGAGTCCAGGAGAACACCAAGATAACGCACATGCAGAGATGGTGATAAGACTGACCCATCAAACGTTAACTCAAATTCTCTCGATGTTAGAGTGCCAACCAATTAAAATCTCTGCTAACACGCTGTTAGCATGATTCAGGACGCTGCTGGCATGTTTTTTTGTGTGTGGCTAACATGGTTTATCAAGTTGTTAACAGGTTTCTAGCGTGATTTAAAGTTTATAACCTGATTTAAATGTTTGGCTTGTTGCTAACATGCAATTAACCCACTACTGCCACTTTGAACAAATTTGTAGCATTTTCCACAAACTGTTCATGCTTCAGCTCATTGCTAGCAATCCTAACGTGTGGTTATTTTGGCATGTTTCAACATGATTTAACACACTGTTAACATGTTTATAATATGGTTCAGCACACATTTTGTTCGGTAGCTACTTGATCACATTTTCTTTCACCTGGATTGGATTATGAAGGAGGTTTTGCGTGGACTTTAGCATTTTAATGCCCAAATATTATAACCTATTTCATAATCATTGAAATTACAAATAAAGATGTTTACTAAGTATATTTGTACAGTTAACTTTACACAGGCTGTGTGTCAGTGCAATTTTAAGTGTAGAAAAATTTCTTGCTAACTAAATTATGACTTCAATAAATGTTTTTATTTTACTCTAAATGCATGATCTTCACCTTTGCTTAACCCTAGAAAACAAATCTTTTAAAACGCTCATGCGATTTGCCGCTGTTGAATTTTTCATCTTGCAGTATCAAAAATGCATTCGCCATGCTTTAACATTTTTCGTTCTGTTGGCAGGTGCTGTCAGCATTTGATCTGGTACGCTACTGCGTGAGTGTGTGTAACCAGATCGCCACACACTTAAACATCCGCGTGTTCAGCATCCAGC